CAGATATTAGAAATGAGATATGGGCTCAGGTCCTCAAAAGTTCTTAGGCACTTAATGCTTCAGTGATTTCAATAAGAGTTAGATGTCTAACTGCCTTAAGAGAGGTTCCATGGGCTTGATAGTTTTTCAGAAATGAGTCGGTAGATCTCTGACTAGCTCCTAGTGGACATTCATGAGAAAAATACCCCATAACTGGTGCTGGTTCCCATTCTTTTGCATTCTAAGCAAAGTAAGAAAGGACTAAGAGGACCATGGAGATGGAGTAAGCTTTCTCTTTTGTAAGATGGGGGGAGCAGTATAGGATAGCTAGCTGAACTCCAGAGCATGGACTTCAGTCTCCAGGATGGCCCTTAAGCCACTCCCCAAAACTGGGCACTAAGCAAATTTGTTGGCTTTGCTCAATAGTTCTAACAACATATTTGTGTTTTCCCTTTATGTAGCATGATCAGAAGAAGTGTTCCTGCGGGGAAGAGTCAACCAGTAGATTTCAACTCATCAGAGAGGAATATGAAAAGGTAACTTGGGGGTTTCTCTTAGTCATCTGTTGCACTATTGATTTCTATCTCTGTTTGGGAAGAGGAGAGGGAACAATCAGCACACCACCCCGTTGTTATTATTAATTTGAATTATAGTAGTAGTTGGAGGCTGCAAAGAAGAGAAGGCCCCATTGTACTTGGTGTTGCACAGGCAAACAGGGAGAGACAGTCCTTGCCCCAAACAGCTTAAACCCAGATTTTGAAAGGTTTTCACATGTTGTTCTATTTGGTGTTGCAACATGTAACTTATTTAGGAGCCTAAATCTCATTTTCAAAAAGGATTTAGGCACTTTTGGGATTTAAATCCCATCAGTTGTTACCAAATCATTTTTGAAAATGGAAATTAGGCTCCTACAGCACTTAGGGTTTTTTGAAAAAATTGCCCATTGTTTTTAAGATTCAGAATTTGCAAATAGTTGGCACACACTGATGTACAAGCCACCACAGTTTTCCTCCAGATTATACTTAGAAATTAATGGTGGTAACTGTATTGGCAAGTCTGGAATTTTTTACAGTGGGCTACTATTCCATTCGCCACTCTTCATTTTGTCAGATTAAGAGAGCATCAGTTAAAAAGAAATTAAAATGCACAGCTCCTTCAGTAACGTCCTGCAAGATAACTTTGATTATAGAAATAGGACCTGGAATATGAATAACCAAATCAATATGATCAACCTTTAATTGTATCTGCAGTTTTTTATGACGGTACTAATTCCTTGACTTGGTTTTATTTCTCTAGCTAGATAGAAACTCTGCAGCAAACAAAGCATTGAGTGAAATGGACATTCTTTTAGTCTGGATGGAAGAGATTAAGAACATGGAGAAAATCTAGAGTGACGTCTTATTTTTTATTTCAATAACTTATTTATTTTATTTTAAAATTATATATATATTTATATTTATAAATCATATCCGTGTTGCTTTCCTTTGTACCGTGGAATAAAGTCTCAGATGGTTTAAATTGATGGAGCTCCATGGAAGCCCAGGGAGAGAGGTCAGTTTACACCAGTTGAGGATGGTCTGTGTAGCTAATGGTTTGTTCCTGAAAGAGGCAGGAATTCCTGAATATCCTTAACTTTAGAATCTCAAGGGATCTGGTGCTGTAGGCTGAGAGCTACTTTGATATGACAGAAATGAACAGCTAAAGCAGGTTATCTGATCCTGGAATTGTTAGCATGCACTGCTTCTCAGCCCTAGGCCATATGATTGGAAATGTCACATCAGGAATAAAATGATCCTTCCATTCCACACGCCCCCACAACATTCCATTGCTACTTTTCTGGGACTTACTACTAACGATGGGCCTGAACCAAAAGCTGGAGCCAAATCAATTCAGGAGCATGTCTTTCCACCAGACTGTTGGACCAACTGTAGTAAGAAGCCAGACTATTCAGCCATAGCTTCCATAGATATATTTTTTAATTGTTCTTTGCCTCTGTTGTGAGTGGTCCTAATCTGAGCTAGAAATGGAAGCATCTGACTATTGTGAGAAACACTCTTCCAACAGCATTTTCAGCCCAGCTGGAAGGAGGTACCAGAAAATTCACAAGAGCCTCTTTTCTTTCTAGATGAAGGCCAGCCTCAAAATTCTGCAAAATAAACCTGTTAACTTGAATGAGACAGTTTCTCTGAGTTTCAGATTTGACACTACCCTTTCCAGCTGAAATGGCTGGATTCTCCTTTTACTTACACCCATGTAGGCTAGAAGTAACCCTACTGAAGCTATAGGAGATATGTGTAGCTATATCACTGGTATGAAACCCTGGCTCTTGTGAAATCAAACGGGAGTTTAGCCATTGGCTTTGAAAGGGGCTAGGATTTCACTTCTGGTGTCAGTGAGATGAGAATCAATCCCATGAGGTTTAGATAAAGTTAGAGAAGTATTCACCCAAAGTAGAATGTCTTGAGGGTCTCACATTATGTTAAACACAGGGATAAGCGACAAGATGCAAAGTTCAGACACTAAATTGTTTACTAATTAAAAAACCTTAATACTAAAACTATATTTCCATCATGACCATCACCGTGGTAAAGCTCTTTGAAATCTCTGTTGCTACACATGTTCAATATGTTATTTATTTTAAATAAGCTCTATTTAAATCATGTTTTATTTAAAATGTATTTATAGTAAAACATATTTAAGGTGTATATGTTTTGTATAACTAATATGGCATGATCATATTGTCTGTTGTTCAGTAAGTACATACTGTACAAGCTACTGGCAGTAAACCATGTCCTAAAGAGACCGACATCAGTTGTAACGACAGTATTTGTTCTTGCAATTTTTTATATGCCTGTTTTTAAGATGTATGGTCAAAGTTCTTTGCTTTTTCTCAGCTAATAAAAGTGGTTCATTTCAAAACAGATGCGGGGAATTTCTTTTTTGAAGATGTTAAGGGAAGGACAGAATCTGAGACGGGGGAAAGGGTCTGATTTGTCCTCCTCTCTGCAGAACGCACAGGGCTCAGCCATGAAGAATATAAGGAGGATTCAACCACAGGATGAGCTCTGTGGTTGTCTTTCGCTCCCAGACTAACACAATCCATTCCATCCCATTATACCTACATGGAGGCCATGCTAAGTCCTGGCCAGGAATCATGGAAAGGAGTGGTGGCTATAGAACAGGTTTCAGTTCCACTGTCAAGGTCACTGTGAGGTAATCTGGGATGACACTTTCCTTGTAGAGCAGCCCCACCCCTCAACAGAAGTGGGCAAAGGAGGCAGTTATCTCGAGGGGCGATGATTCAAAAGGGCCCAGGGCTCCCAGCTGCCAAAGCTATCACAGAATCATAGAGCTGGAAGAGCCCTCAGGAGGTCATCAAATCCAGCCCCCTGCCCAAGGTAGGACCAATCTCAACTAAATCAACCCAGCCAGGGCTTTGTCAAGCTGAGACTTAAAAACCTCTAGGAATGGAGATTCCACCCCATCCCTAGGGAACCCAGCCCAGTGCTTCCCCACCCTCCTAGGGAAATAGTTTTTCCTAATATCCAACCTAGACCTCCCCCACTGTAACTTGAGACCATTGCTCCTTGTTCTGCATCCGTCACTACTGAGAACAGCCTGTCTCCATCCTCTTTGGAACCTCCCTTCAGGAAGTTGAAGGCTGCTCTCAAATCCCCCCTCACTCTTCTCTTCTGCAGACTAAACAAACCCAAATCCCTCTGTCTCTCTTCATAGGCCATGCACTCCAGCCCCCTAATCATTTTGGTCGCCCCCCACTGGACCCTCTCCAATGCGTCCACATCCTTGCTGTAGTGGGGGGCCCAGCACTGGACACGATACTCCGGATGTGGCTTCACAGGAGTGACAGTGGCTGGTGCCCTAGGCCCTTTAAATTGCCACTGGAGTGCCAGGCAGTGCGTTCCAGGAGGCTCTCAGGGCTGGTTGGAGAGTGGCGGGGGGAAAGGCCAGCCTGGTGCGCTCTGGGTGGCACTGTAGGCTGACTGCGCCAGCCTTGTCCCTCCCATCTTATGCCCCGCCCCTTCTGGGAATGCAGAGCCACTCCCCCTTGCTGAGGGCCCCAGCAAGCCTGTTGGCCCCGCCCCTCCTGGCCTGGATAGTGACAATACAAGTTCCCTCCACTCCACCCCACTAGTAGGGGTAAACATGGAAGGACCTACTTTAGGGCTGCAAGAGTAGTTTGGAATCTGAATCTGATTTCACTTACACTGCTCTAAATTAACAGTGAAACACGGGGGTCCAGTTCTATTGGTAAGAGGCACAAGCTACACAGAGTTCTTCAGACCCGAGGAAGGAAGCAGAGTGTTGGAACTAAATGCAAATTGGGGCAGATTGTTAAGCAGAAGGGAAAGCATGTTGGAATTAAACATAACCTCACTAAAGTCAATGGATTTACCTCAGTGTTCAGTTGGGATCACACCCATAGTACCAGTAAAAATAAACACTGCTTAAAAATTTCTCCAAAACGTTTTTATTTGTTTTAACAAAAAAAAGTGTATAAAGTGTTTGGAAATGCAAAACAATCTCTCTCAGTTTTCCAGACAGTTTCATAACTGATCAGAAATTTAACACCAACTATACATTGGATGAAATTTTTGCAAAACAGTTCCCCTTCGTCTTTTTTGGGCACTGGATTGCTGACTACATTCACCTAGTTCAAGTTGACAATAAAGATGAATTTTAACATGCGAGTCAAAATGCCAGTGAACTTAGGGTGAAATCTATTCCTGTGCAAAGAGCACATAACCTATGCAACACTTCAGTCTGTTCACCTAATTTGAGGCTATAATGTAAGGCCAGGTCTAGTGTGGTGGAGAAAATCGATGCAAGATACGGAACTCTAGCTATTTGAATTTCAAAACTGGAGTCAACGTACTGTCCATCAATTTTCTGGGGCAGCCCCACAGCGGGAGGTTGATGGGAGAAACTCTCCTGTCACTTTAAGAACATGAGAACGGCCACGCTGGGTCAGACCGAAGGTCCATCTAGCCCAGTGTCCTGTCTGCCGACAGTGGCCGATGCCAGGTGCCCCAGAGGGAGTGAACACAGCAAGTAAGCCCCAAGTTCATCGTAAGACACAGTTAAGGGGTCACACCTGAAAGAAAACCTGCTCAGAAACTAGCACCTATGCAGTTGGGTCTGGTCAGAAGGTGTATGTATGGGAGTGGGAATAACACACAAATAGTGTGGCAGCCAGTGTGAAAGAGGCAGGCAGGGGGAAAAGCTGAAAGCACAGGGGCTAACCTGGAAAGAAACCTGGGGAGAGATTTATGTGCTAGGGTGCGGATGAAAAGAAGTGGTTAAGTGCTGTGAACCGAAGAAACTGGTTCCTTCTATTTGCTTCCCTTTGACTTCGCAGACACAGGGCCCCACTCAGTATTCAGTTTAGTGGGTCTTTACTAGACCTATTAAATCAAATGCTGAAGACCTAATCCCTGAGTGTTGATCTTCCGGTAAGTTGAGACATGGCCTAAGTGGTGCTTAGGTCCTGCACTGGCCCTCTGCATAGGATACATCTTCATCCATAGTCAATAAATATTGAAGGGGAAAAGGGTGCCTCTGCTTATAATTGTTCACCTGAGCTGCGTGTTTTGGGAACCATCTGTATAGAAACACTAACCAAGATCTGCAGAACACACAAGCAAAACTCACATGTCAAAGACAACAGCCAATCCATTGTACCTCGGTAAACACAGCAGGAGCGCATTACGTGAAAAAGCGAATAGACCCGTTTCTGCAGGGCATTGTGGTTCCAGAGCATGTCAGGGTTGGATGCGGTGCCAGATGACCCAGGCACAAATGTGCAGTCACAGCAGCTCTCTTATAAGTTGATTCTGCAGTGATATGACTCCTGAGGTACATGAGAACCTAGGGAAAAATGCAGAGACAGCAAGTGGTACAGGAGCGTCTTTTTATCAAACATGAAATCTAGCAACGGGTCTGGCAATGCAGCAGAGTGAGGCAGAGTGGAATACCGTGACTACCTACCCATCTCAGGTCTGACTAGAGGCAGTGGAATATATCCTCAGACTTTTGCACTGCCGGCTCCTATAAGCAAGGAAGGAGTATACTGGGGAAGACACATTTATACTGAAATAACTGTGCCCACAAAGGGGTTGCATGGATGTGAGGGGAGCTATTGGGGTTTGGGAGGGGGTGCTCCAGGTTGGAGAGGAGAATTGTGGGGGTTCCTACCTGCTCCCAGGTCTTGCTCCCTGCCCTGATCAAATGTCCACGTACCTGCTCCAGACCCTTTGGATGCCTCCTCCCACTTCCCAGCTCAGTCCCAGTGGCAGCTGCTCCTGCCCCTCCAGATCCTATGCTCTGCTCTCCAGCTTATTCCTGAGCCCCACGGCAGCTGCTCCAGACCCTCTGCTCTGTCCTCTGTGTCTAAGTTTATGCAGGGATAGATCACTGCCAGGTGCTGCTGCCCTGGAGAGGCGTTATAGAGGTAAAACTGTTTTGGTAACCCTACCCCTCTCACCAACTTAGTTATACCATAAACATAGGTGACTGGTGCCTGCAAGGGGAGGTTGTCGGGGAGGGCCACCCACAGAGGTAGGGTGGGGGCAACTGGGACCACCCCATTTATCAATTCCAATTTTGGCAGGGGTATAGTGGGCGGTGCACCTCCCAGGTGCTCCCACGCGTCGCCAATGACCATAAAACGTTTAAGTGTCATACAGGCCCTGAGGCGCACAGGCCGAGATGCCACTGACACATCATCCAAGGCGTTGCCAGGCAACTCAGAACCATATGGGCCCGGTGTGACTTCGAAACCCTTCCTCGCAGAGATCCCATTGACATCCAGTGGCACCAGCATGCCTCAGTGACCTAAGTGCTTCTGAAAATCCCTCCTTTAGGGTTGATGGTGTCAGAGGTTTATTCCCTAGCGGTTTTTTCATAGCAGCTTAAGAGAGCTAGGGCAACTTTGTTGGGGGGAGGGAGGGGACACATAACATAATGAGCTAACTGAAGCAGCTCAAAAGCTTCCTAGTGTGCCACAGCTGTTGGAAACACGTAAGCAGCAGGACAGTCAGAATACAGGCGACCCACCGCACTTACGACCTAATTGGTTCCATTGTAAATCGAACCCTTATTGCCCATTGGGGCAATGTTATGAATGGGGGTTCCGTTCCTGGCCCACTTTGCCTTCTGGGAATTGTAGTCTCTTGGATCCGGCGGCGTGACTGGCACCCAGAGCTGGCTGAGGGCTGCGCCGGGCGGTGGTAGGCAGCCCTGCGGCCAGGGGCGGATATAGGGCAGGGTAAGCGGGGCAGCCGACCCGGGCCCCGTGCTTCAAGAAGCCCCACACATGTGCCGTGGCAAAGGGGGGGCCTCGTGAAATTGTGCTGCCCTGGGCCCCGCAAAATGGTCATCTGCCCCTGCCTGCAGCATGGCACAAGCGGTGCCCTGAGCTGGTCATGGGCTGTGCCAGGCAGTAGGTGACCCCGCAGCTCCTGGAGCAGGGTGGCTGTAAATGCAGGGGAAGGGGGAGTCACAGGACGGTCGGTCATAAGCTAACTTTTTTATCCAGTGCTTTTCAACAGAAGAGCTCAAAGCCCTTTATGAAAGAGGTCACTGTAATTATCCCTGTTTTACAGATGAGGTGACTGCGACAGAGAGAGGACCTGACTTGCTCATGATCACACAGTAGACCTGTGACAGAGCTGGGAACAGAATACACTGCATCCCAGACCAGGGCTTTAACTAATAGGAAGTATTGCCTCCCTGACATGATGATGTAACTATTCCAGGGTTTTGCAACACAAATTAGAACTCCTTGGGTGAATGCAACTGCATTTTTCCAGCTTAACACTTTTCTGAAAAGGCTCCTGGCTCATCAGTGCCTCAAGTGGCCCAGTGAACATCCAGTTATTTAGCTCTTCTTTCAGATATTGCCAGCAAAAATGCTGAGTCTTGTCTATGATGCAAGTTCTGTATGTTTCCCAAATGAAAGCATTTCCTGCTGTTGCTTCTCATAGCTTCACTACCTGAACATGTAGCCAGCCTAACAGGCAAAAGAATAAAAGAATAGGGTGTGTAACACAGACCCTGCCCTGCTGAGGGAGGAATATTATACCCCTTCCTGTAAATTAACTCTGGAAATACCCATGGTCACACTGTGATGATCACTATCTGTGAAAGTTAATGTATCTTTTCTGTACTCATAGGTCTATTGTTAAGATACACAGGTTGGACCTCTCTGGTACAGCAGCCTCAGGACCTGACTGATCCCAGATGAGGGATTTTGTGGATTCAGGGGAGGTCATTTCTGGTCCCCCTGCTGCCATCCCTGCTGCTCCATAGGCTTCTCTGGGCAGTCACGCTGGGTTGTGTGCTGGGCTTCCCACCCCTCACCCCTTTACCCTCATTCCCCACCCCCCTTGCTGGCCTTCCTGGCTCCCCCAACCCCACATCTCCGCTGAGCTGAACACCAACCCCTCCTCCTCCTCCGACCCCAGCCCAGCTGCACTGCCTGCTGGGCTCCACCCTCTCCCCACATCACACCAAGCTCCCAGGATTCTCAGATGCTGGACCATCCAGACAATCACAGAATCATAGAACTCTAGGACTGGAAGAGACCTCAGGAGGTCATCAAGTCCATCCCCTGCCCAAGGCAGGACCAATCCCAACTACCCCAACAATCCCAGTTTATAGAGGGGCAACTTCTCTTGTTTGAGGTCATTATTTTATTACAGTTTTCTAACATTGTTTACTATGCACACAGCCACCTATTTAGAGCTGTATGAAGAGGATGACATTTAAAAGGAGAAACTGAATCTGAGTATCAGGAAAATGGTCTAATTGTGAGCTCTGTTAGGCAATGGAGTAGACTAAGAAAACACAACATTCTTGTCATTGGGGATATTTAAACAAGACTATAAAAAAATCCTTAAATAATGCGCCCTATGCTAGCCAGTAAGAATTCTGTGCCAAGACTAGATAATCAAGTTGTCTCCAATTTCCATGATACAAATCAGTCCCTCAATTTCCCCCATTTACTTCCTTTGGAAAGTTCTTTGATCGATACTGCGGAGTAGAGCAATATGTCATTAATTATTATTTACACCCATTCAGACAGTCAGTCTGAAAAATGGCAGTGTTATAAAGGTTGAACCAGTCAGATAAAAATAACCTATCGGTTAAGTCACACATCTTGCAAGTTATTTCCTAGTGTTCTGGTTTATTGCATGAGCTGAACTCGCCCTGGGAAGCTCCATAGATCATGCCAAAATTCTCTCTTTCTCTCTTAAGGGGTTGACTATTGATCTTTTCTCTAGAAGAAGGGAATGGAACTAGCCATCCCAAAGAGAGGTAGCAGGCATTCACATAAGACGTCTTCCCATCTATTACTGCTGAGAGATGAGCTTTCTGTTTGGCCTTAAGATATATGGGGCTGGTTGCCCCTAGATGGCTGATAGAGGAAGGCACAGGTAGACTTATGAATGGATAGTTTGCAGCAATAAAGGAAAGAACCTGCCCTTGAATGCTTTTGTCTCTCTCTCTTTCTCCGTCTTTTGAACCCTCTCCACTGGCCTGAAATACATATTCACCCTAGAACAGGCATGTCCAAAGTCTGGCCCGAGGGCCAATTGCGGCCCGTGTTCCGGTTTAATACGGCCCCACAGGTAATTTGGCAATATCGATCTTTTATGGCCCCCAACGAATCCATATGTATTGAGATGAATACATTGTAAAATCTCAGTTAGTCAGTTGGTCTAAATCAGTTATAAATATATTTGGACACAACATGTATACTTGGTGTTATGTTCCTGTTCATATTTTTTGAACTTAAAAGTTGACAGACAACCTTTATTACCAATAATATGTAATGTACTTTACAATGTTCCTGACATATATTTCAGCTTCCTGGATTTTTTTTTCATCTGGCCTTCAGATATGAAAGGCAGAGTGATTTAACACCTGTTTAGATTTGTCATCCATGTGACAAAATGAAAAGTATGCCGTTTGCAATGAACTTTGCATAAAATAGTTAATTTGCATTTAATTTTAATGGTTCAAAGAATGTCAGGCAAAATGGTCGGCCCTCACGCATGTTCACTTCATCAAATCTGGCCCTCTTTGAAAAAAGTTTGGACACCCCTGCCCTAGAAGCTCAACAAGTGGGAATGTACGTGGGGGTAAGAGAGTGGGACCAAAGATCTGGAACAAAACCTTAACACTTTCTCCCCAGCCCCTTCCTGCTCGGCATAAGAGCCAGGGTAACACAAAGTGGTTGTAAAAGTCTCAATACCCACAGAAATCTAACTGCCCCAGGAGAGGCACTGCAGAACACAGCCATAAGGTTGCTTCCATCAAAAGCCCTCTTGTGGGGGACATGCTGGGGGCTGGTGGGGTATGTTGCAGTGGGAGATCTGGGGCAGCACTGCAGCCTATGGGATAATTCTGGAAGGTTGCTGTAACCTAGACAGGCCGCTCCAGCCATCGGAGCAGCCTGAGAAGATATTAAAGCTGCCGAAAGCTGCCTGAGCTTCGCTTCCCGCTGGCTGATGAATTCTAAGAGGCACTGCACCAAACCCCCTCCCTAGAGTCTGTTCTGAATGCTGCCATTGATCTCCGGCAAATCATTTAGCCTCTCCGGGCACCAGTTTCTCCAACTGTAAAAAGGGGGCGACTACCAGCCCTCGAGCCTTCTGTAACTGGTTTTCCTCAAGCCCTGGGATGTATGAATACAAAGTGTTATTGCTTATCTCCTTTATTAAGCAGACATGTCCTCAGACAGTCTCCTCAGTAGTTAATTGCCCGCTGCAGGTGGATATAATCTTGACAGCAGTATTAAAAGGTGGGTTTAATATGGGTTGATTTAAGTTCCCATATTAGGAGGTAAACCTCCAAAGGTCTTCAGACTCCATTTGGCTTACTGTCCAAACCTTTGGGGTCTGAAAAACAGGGCTAGAAATCTCTCAACATTCACATGCTGTATTTCAACTCTTCCCTTTCTGCTTCCTGATAGAATTAGAGCAGAGGGCATGAAAATTAAAAGGAGTGATGTGTGTGGGGAGAAGGAGGGGAGGATTAAAAGTAACCCAGCTTTTAAAACTTATTGTTAATCTAGTATTGTTGGATCAAATTCACCTCTACTGTAACTTCCAGGCAGTTACATCAGGATTGGATTTGGCCCAAGCATGAAAAATGTAATATATACTTTGTCTAACAAGAGACAGGATAGAGTCACTGGGGTGGGTTGTATGGTTTGCCCTATGAGTAATTTGTTAAGTTGACTTAATAGGCAATCTGGGGTCAGAGACAGTACAAGTGACTGTAACTTCATTAAAGTCACTGGAGTTTTGCTTGTTTAAACCAGGACTCCATTCTCTGTGGATTAGCCACCTGATTCTCCATGCAAAGTCCCATAATGCACAGCAATTCCTGCAGTTCTGGCCTCCATTGAATAGCTGCTGCAGTCTAAACAGACTAAAAGCTCCTTTACTCTAGCCTCCTTTATGTGTGGGAAGGATTGCCAGGTTTCTGACATTTCTGCAGCTTCTGAGCTTTACATTTAAATTTCATTCTCACCTAGAGGAACAGTGTGATTGATGCAATGCAAGAAACAGACGCGTGGTATCTTGGAAAAGGTTCAGACAAGGGGGTGACTTTGAAGAGAAGCCAAAACATCTGGATTTCATCAGGCCTCTGTTCCTGACAGCTCAGGTAATTGTGGATGACTGTATCTGCCTAATTATACTGGAGGGAGAAATTCCTACTGACGTGAGAGATCTGGGAGAAAGAAAAAGGCCTTAAAATAGACTCCTTGTTGATTTATGCACCTCCTACTGTGTCTGTTCTTGTGGTAGGTGGGTAGGTCATGGCTCTGGGGTCTAAGCTTAGATGGGGAACAACTAGATTTCTTAGCACCCCACACCCAAAGGCCTTGTGTGCTAAGCGCAGCTCAGGTATGAGACTAAGTACTGAAGTCCAGCTAACCAGAGCAATCCTGTGGTAAGCAGCAGCTTGCTATAATGGATCATTATAAAGGAGCTGGGAGCCCAACCTGCCTGGTGACAGGTTCTCCTTTCTTTCCCTTTGCACCACTCCCAGCCCGTTCCTTGTCAACATTAACACCCAGGGGTTTTAGTTGGGACTATCTGCACAAGGTTGCCTCCTCCAGCTTGCTGTTGCAATAGGGACATAACAGGAATGTTTTCAGTATTTGATGGTCTTAGAGTTGGCCTTATGGGCAGGCATGTGGTCAAGGGAACACCAGGGTCAAGAGACAAGGAGTGGGGCAGGCCCAGGGAACAAGGCTGCAGAATGGGGTCTGGGGTAATGTGTGTGTGTGTGTGTGTGTGTGTGTGTGTGTGTGTGTGTGACGGGGGAAGGCAACAGAATCTGAGGGCAAAGGATTGGAGGTTGGGGAAGCAGCAAGGATGATGGGTGGGGGACAGTGTTCCTTGTAAACTGAGCACTGGGGCAGCTGCCCAGGAGAGATTCGACTGGCTGATTGGCAGAGTTCCTACAGCCGGCAGCTAGGGTTGCCAGATTGTTTAACCAAAAATACCGAACCCCTCCCCCAAAAAAAACCACTGGGAAAAAAATTCTGTTGAGGGGGGGGAAAAAAGGGGGCAGGAGACCAAAGTTGTTGGGGGGGGGGGGGGGGGAAGACCCCCGAAAGTTAAGGAAAACCCCGAAAGTTAAGGAAAAAAAGTAAAAAAAAAAAGTAAAAATAGTAAACAAACAAACAAACAAAAAAACCCAGCGTGGCCCCTTTAAGAAATGCTTTTGAGGCTTTTTGGCCTTAACTGGCTGCTGGCAGCTGTCCGCCATCTTGCCTCCCTGCGCCAGGCCAGATGGCTCCCCTGCAGAATCCAGTAAGCACCTGGGATTTTCGCTTCCTGGCTGGAAAAAAATCAGAAAATACCACACATTTCAGGTGTCCGGTATTTTCTGCATTTTTTTTACTGAAGGCAAAAATACCGGACTGTCTGGGTCAATACCGGACACCTGGCAACCCTACCAGCAGCATGTGTTTCCATTGGTAGTGTACCTCCGCACATAAAAAAATTTATTCTGCACACTGATACAAAAAATGAAGGCGTGTGTGTGTGCTGGGGGAAGGGTGTCAGAGCACCAAAATATAGGTTTGACCGGGATGTCATTTCCCCTAAAGCCTGCCTGGGAAGGTCTCTTGCTCACATGTGTGTAGCCTGTGCTCACAAGCCACAGCCTGTGCTGAAAAAGTCTGCCCAGTTCCATGGCAGTGCGCCATGTGCAGCACACTACAAAGCCTGCACAGGCTTCTGGTAGGTTTCCAGCTGCTGTCAGGAATCCGGGAAGATGGTTTGCATGCCTAACAGTCTGCCTTCTTGTGCGTCATCCAGACAAGTGCTATGAGCGGGGTGTGCTTGTACTGCCAGCCCTCAGCGCTGAAATTCTCAGGGATGGGGCCTGGAATTTATTTCTTCTTTTGATCCGGCAGGGCCTGACCTTTGCTGACCCTGCTGTTTATAGAGGGCTTTGCCTATGGAAGCGATTAGATAATGTAAAAAGGAGCAGAAGCCAGTGCGGTTCGGTGTGTGCTGCTAGCCAAGAGTGTATATATGTTCAACCCCCAGCTAATTTCAGACCAACTCCCAGGGCTACACTAACCTGTTGGTTAGTAATATACATTAGATGGGTTTCATTTCCCAGGATTACCCCCTACCATTTGGATTTGAGTCTGTTGCAGAGGCTGATCCTACTGATTTGTGCTCTGTGCCGTTACACTTCATGGGTAAGCTGAGTACCGTATCTAGCCCTTTAGAGATTCTCCAGGGATTCCTGCATCTGTACAGACACAACATTAGTATCACTAGACCTGCCGCTTTCCTTTTCCTTAGGGCTGCCCTGATGCTTGTTTGTCCATCTATGCAACTTTGCTTCCGTGATTTTTTTTTTTCTTCTTCTTCTTTTTTTTTTTTTTTTGTAAAACCAACTCCCTGAAAAACCAACCAACCAACCAAACAAAACCAACACGGAAAGAAAGGAGACAGACATGTTTCACAAGGCCCATGCTAATCTGGGAGCACCCTGCGCTCTAGCCAAGCATTACTAGCACAACAGAGGCTGTATAAACCAAAGGGACTGGGCTTGTTAGGTATATGTATGAACAGTTCCGTAACCATATCCTGCTAGCTCTCCACCCACACGCACCCCAGCCAGCAGGGCACATAACATGAGTAACATTAGACAGCGAGACCAGTTCTGTTTTCTGCTGGACTGTGTGGGAGACAGAACTTTTTGGGGGGCTGGTCCAGGACTGTGGAATGAACCCCCTCTGCAAATTAAGAGCCTTCACAAGCCTTATCACTTGTCACTCCGAGGGCAAAGTGTGTTCCTTTGACCGTGTCTTTTCTAACATGTTCCTAGCCACATGTATATTTAAAAAAAACCCCACACATCTAAACCCCAACCAAAACAGGATATTGCCCTGAATGCTTCTCCCTCTGGAGAGAGGACAGCACATTACAGATGTTGGTTACAATATTTAATGAACTATGGAGAAGCGCTCAGAGACAGGCTAGCCCATTCTAGGGGTTGCCAGATGATCTCCCAAAAAATACCGGACACAAAAAATCGAGCAAAAAAAAAAAAAAAGGATAAGCGGCGATTGCAACCTCGTCTCGCAGGTGGGACTCCCAGGCTGGGAGGAGGGGCCACTATCGGTGCTGGGAATAACGGACACCTGGCAACCCTATCCCATTATGAGAGCTTGAGTAGACATGAGTACAATAGTAGTACTGGGGGTGTGAACACAATACTGAGTTCAACATTATACGGGTGTAAATGAGAGAAGAATCTTGCTTTCTGTCATACATGAGCATCTGTGGAGGGAAAGACCATAGGTAGAGAATAATTCATTAGAGATTGAATAGTTGTGGATGAACTTACTGTTCTTGTCAGCTCCCTGGAGCCTGCGGGGACACACGCTGTAGATATTTTCCACTGGAGCGTTTCCTTGGACCTGTTCAAGCGCACTCAACCTCAGGTTTATTCCGTAGGTTTCGCTGGGAGCTGCTTTTCCAGAACATCCGAACATGTAGATGGTAATGCCTATAAATCAATGGCCATCAGCAGGTCTACAGGCTAAATATGTTTAGTGTTCATGATCTGTGTTATTTCAGTTTGACATAAGTGAGTGCCTGGGTTTGAGAGGTGCTGAGTGTTTGTCTCCCACCAGTGGAAATGTGCCAGTCCTAAACTGGACTCTATAGCAGTTATAAAAATGGCGCTTCAATAGCAGGGTACAGCCAAAGATTCTGTTCACCGGACTGTACAAAATGGATGACAAGTTACTTCCACTGTCTTCCCTGAAATGCAGCCCCCTCTGGGATGGAAGGCAGGTGTATAGCCACATAGCACAACAATTCAGGTGAGCCAATGAAGCAGGTTATGCATATGAAAAAGTCTGAATTGAAACGATAGGGCAATTTTATGCAGGCAGAATGTATTATAGTCATACTGGAATTTGGCTGGGACCTAGCAGCTAACATCCAGTCATCAGATATGGATGGTCAGGACATACATTTTGTTTCATCTGAAATGGTTTTATTTCCTATCTTGCTGTTTGAGTTGTGGTGTTTTTTCCCTAGAAATAAAGCCATTTAACCGGTAATTTCCCCCTTGATGTGACAGGTACACATGTGATTGGGTGAGGGACAAGAACCAAAATAGAATAAAATATCTGTGCAAGCACCTGCAATTTTCATGAGGAGTTGTGCATTTGATCCAGGGTACAGTTTTAGGGTTACCAGATACCTTCACAAAAAATCCCGTACATGGCGAGGAAAAAAATTGGTTGAGCAAAAAACAAACAAACAACCCCCCCTCCCCCTCCAAAAAAACAAAACTGGAGACCAAACTTGTTAAGCACACACACACAAAAAAGTTGCTGCACCTTTAAATTCCCCCACTCCTCACTCTCCATGCCCCCACCAGATGCACAGAGCAAAAATGTCCCTGCTGGCTTTCCACCCGAGAGAAACAGAAAATACTGGACATTTTACATGTCCGGTATTTTCGGGGTTTTCTTTTTTACTGGAGAGAAGATGCAATTACTGGAGTGTCCGGGCGAAAACTGGACAGCTGGCAATCCTATACAATTTGCTTTTAAAAGCAGCTACCTGTGATTTTCATAGTTAGAACCCTGTAAATCCACTGATACCCGCTTTGTATCTGTGCATATTTGCATCTGCAATACAGATGCAGATATCCAGGGTCCATTTTTGCAGCTGCAGATACAAATTTTGTATCTGTTCAGGAGCTGTGTTTATAGTGGCACATAAGGACATTCTTTTCAAGAGGCAAGGAACCATGAGACTTTATCCAAAGCAGAAATCCATCCTTTCCAAAGAGAAATTATAGCTCTCCAAGTGTGGAAAGTCTCTTGTCCTTTCTTTTTATCCCGGAGTGGCAGGTTAGCAGGTACAATGTATCATGGGTATGTGACCTTTATCTTACCTTTCCTTCCTTGTAATTGTTTTCTAACTATGGTCATGGAAGCCACAAGCAGCATTATTATCAGGAGAATTGGTATCAGGATTTGAAAGATGTCTTTCCCATAACTGCTTCTCGGGAGGCTGGAAAATATTGAGTCACAGGGGGAAATGGTTTCACTGCCAGTTCTGACATGCTGACCCACTCCTCCCACAAACAGCTTGGTTGACCAGGTGACATGTGTAAGCTTGAGAAGAAATGAAGGGATCTGGGGGGACTTAATTCTGGAAAATCGCTGATGGGGGAAAGGTGGCAGTACTCACAGCTTTCTAGGCCTGGGATGGGCATAGCCGGTTGTCCTGGAAAACCCCTTTGTCATACTTCCAGTTGTTGCATCAACAAGAGTGTTGCCAATTTCTTTGGCAGGCATGATTTTTCTGGTGTCAGGGAACTGGGTGCCAGGTGCTGTGTAAGAGGCATATTTTGCCCTGGCTGTCATCACTGGTTCTGTGACTCCTGGGGGAAATATATTAAAATTTACTGTGGCTACATTTCCCATTCTTGAACACATGTATCTTTTCCAGTGAAGCAAGTTCCCTAGGGATGAGTGTGAGGGGCAAATAAATCTGGAGATACAGGTTGAATCCCTCTAGTTCAGCACCCTCGGGACCTGACCTGTCCCGAGCCAGAGAATTTGCCGAATCATGGGAGTTCTATAGTGTCTGGCAGCATGACCAACACTTCCACTGCTTGCTGAGATGTTAGAAGACATTTAGAGGTACATTAGAACTAAATAACAGCACAGAACACGGAGAGCCAGGACTGGGGGCTATAAACAGACTTTATGGGACTGCTAGAAACTTGGCCACACCCAAAAGTGAACATTCAGCTAATTAAAATCATGCTGGATCACGGGTGTTGCTGGACCAGAGAGTGCCGGACTAAAGAGGTTCAACCTGTATTCCAGTGGCTTCAGTGGGGTTTTATGTGGATTTGACACTAAGTTGAGCGAGACCACAATTTAGCGTTTTCTTTTGTTAAATTGTGAAGTTCTTGAGCAACACTCTGCTCTCATTTCCTCATACTGTGTTCAGTTGGGTTGCTACGTGGGCGTAACTGAGGGTAGGATTTTTTTTTTTTTTTGGCTTGAAGGATCAAAGATCCGAGCTGCAAGACTGGAGCCAGGCCCCATCTTTGAAGGTTATTACTGATTGGTCCATGATAAATGAACACTTACTATCGAAACATTTAGATTCTAGAACACAGCAGAGTTGATTCTGCTCTCACATAATAATAGGCAGAGGCTGGCTGGGAGAGGATATAGGGACACCACAATGATATTGCCAAATATCTACTTGGGAGCCTTTGGAACAAGTACAGATTTAAACACCCCAGGAGGTTTTATGGGCACCAAACTGAAAATGCTCTAGACCAGTGTTTCTTAAACTATGTTCCACAGCACGAAGCAGTCGGAGGTGTGCCATGGAGAACAACAGAGTTCAAAATATCCACATTTAAAGGGGTAGCCTTTTTTTTTTTTTTTTGGTCAATAACTTCCCCCGACGCTTTTTTTTTTCTGGTCAATAACTTTTCCTTGGTGTTCCTCATAAAAGAAAAATATTGTTTGGTGTTCCTCAGTCTTAAAAAGTTTAAGAAACACTGCTCTAGACAATGAAGTGGCTAAGGTTTTATGAACTGGGGCCATTGTCATAGACCAAAAGAGGACAGGTAAATGGGCTGCATATAGGTGTTGTAGAAAAGAACACAAGGCATGATAATTGATATTGTTATACTAGCGAATATATATGAAGAGACAAGAAGAGAGGATAAAAAAGTTTGGGGAACTTTGCCAGGAATAGGAATGATTACAGAAAACTAGAACAAAAATTCTATGCAGACCGTCACAATTGGTTTGTAGTCAGGATTCACTGGGATCACTGTGGATAAATTTTAGACAGTAGCTTTCCCCTTTTAAGCTTAATGGTCTTGTATATTGTTAAGGTGGTTGGTTAAAAAACATCCAATGCCATCGTTAAAACAGAGGTATAATTAATATACTTACCTCATTTACAAATGCACATTTTTAGATCTGCGAACATGTTCCAAAAGAACTCAGTATTTACAGCTGGGGAAATGGAGGCACAAATGAAATGACTTGGCCAACATCACCAAGCAAGCCAGTGGTTAGAGCTGGGAGGATGGGGACAGATCCACAGTTGGCATAAATGATCATGTGCTAGCTGAAGACTAAATGTTGCCAAATTAAGTGATTGGGTAACAAAATGGCAAATTAAATTTAATATAGATAAATGTAAAGTAATGCACATTGAAAAAAATAATCCCAACTATACATACAATATGATGGGGACTAATTTAGCTACAACTACTCGAGAGAGATCTTGGAGTCATTGTGGAGGGTTCTTTGAAAACATCCACTCAATGTGCAGTGGCAGTCAAAAAACCAAATAGAATGTTATGAATAATTAAAAAAGGGGATAGAAAATATTTTATCACCTCTGTATAAAACCATGGTACACCCGCATCTTGAATATTGTGTACATATATGGTTGCCTCATCTCAAAAAAGATACATTGGCATTGGAAAAGGTTCAGAGAAGGGCAACAAAAATGATTAGGGGTTTGGAACAGGTCCCATATGAAGAGAGATTAAAAAGACATGGATTTTTCAGCTTAGAAAAGAGGAGACTGGGGGGGGAGGGTTCAGATATGATAGAAGTTCTATAAAATCATGACTGGTGTGGAAGAAGTGAATAAGGAAAAGTTATTTAGTTATTCCCACAATATAAGAACTAGGGATCACCAAATGAAATTAATAGGCATCAGATTTAAAACAAACAAAAGGAAGTTTTTTCTTCACTCAGTGCACAGTCAACCTGTGGAACTCCTTGACAGAGGATGTGGTGATGGCTAGGACTTTAACAGGATTCAAAAAAGAGCTAAATAGATTCATGGAGGTTAGGTCCATCAATGGCTGTTAGCCAGGATGGGTAGGAATGGTGTCCCCAGCCTCTGTTTGTCTGGAGGTGGGTGTCAGGAGAGGGAGCCTGGGAGGATTCCCTGTTGTGTTCCTTCCCTTCGGGGCCTCTGGTATTGGCCTCTGTCAGCAGACAGGATACTGGGTTAAATGGACCTTTGGCCTGACCCGGTATGGCTGTGCTTATGCTTTTATAACTGTGCCTTAAGTTTCCAGAGTCCCAATCTGATGTCCTATTCCAGGGGTGGGGAACCGAAAGCCTGGAGCACAGAAGTGGCACCTGAGTTGCCAGGATCTGGCCCCCAAGGCGTAGAGCCTCCCTCAGATCTGGGGAGCCCACGGTGGCACTCCAGCCCCACCGCTGCCTCCTTGCAGTCCCTAGCCCCCGACTGATTTTTCTATAGGTCAGCATTCCCTGACCCAAAAAAGGTTCCCCACCCCTGCCCTGTTCATTAGGCCAGACTGCCTTTCCATTGTACCACAAACAGGACTCCATTGATTTTTAATGAAGGCAAACTCCATACTCCAGCCAAATAAAGACTCCCACTGAATATAACCATTACAACACCAGCTCTAGTAGTGTCCTAGTTTGGGCAATATAAGCCAACAGGCCTACGCAAAGGAATGGAGGAAACAAGTGTCTGCCCTAAAAAAGAAGGCGAAAAGAATGAGAAGGATGTGTGTCCCCTAGCATTATCTGGTCTTCATGCTTGTGCACTGCACCTAAGGGAAGATAGAAAGCTCTATAAACGAAGACCTCAGGGTCTGAATATATTTGCAGTAGCAACTGCCATGTGTGTATGACGTTAGTTAGAGAAAGTAACAAAAAACTACAGCAACTTGTTGAGTCCAAAAGCTTAATCTTGATGGGAACATTCAGAAATAAATGTCTCTGCATTTAAGATTTTTCTTTTAGAGAGGAAAAACAATCGCACAGAGAAATCAGCTCTGGAGATTTTACTCCACCACCGACTTCCTGTGTGACCATGGGCCACTTACATGGACTACCCTGTGTCCCAGCTTCCTGTCTGTCAAGTAGGGAGGATGCTTCCCACACCTCACAAAGAGGCTGTGAGGATAAAACCCATTCATACATGTGAGGCGATCTAATACTACAATGGTGGGAGGAAGCAGATAAATCCCTAGATGAGATTGATAATTCTAAGTGAATGAACCCAGTGCCAAAAAATGGTCTGAAATCTACCAAACAAGCACAGCACAGGCAGCTGTGGCATAAAATTCCGGGGTGCATCACCTCATCAGTGCGATCCTGAGAGACCTCCCTCATGCTAGAGGGCACCAGTTAATGTCAATTCCCTTTCCTGTGGGACAATACAGAGGGATGCAGCAAATCTCACCTTTATCATCAACACCTTTGATGCCAGACTCTGCTGGGACCACGACAGGTCTGTCACGTCTTGGGGGGTCAGCCAGCAACATGTGTGGAGCACCCCCTGCATGGAACAGAAACCAGATGTGTTCCTAGAGCATGAGTCACAATCGGATTCTCAAGGCTAAAGCTAGACTGTCAGAGATACGGCAGAGAGAGCATCGCCAGTGACTCTGTACAACCAGCGTGGTACTGTGCAGGGTAATCCCAGCACCTCAGTGGCACTGTATCAGCAGTGATGCTGTACAGAGTGACTCTGGATTAGCAGAGACACCAAACCATCAGAGTGAGACTGTAGCATGGTCCTGATACTGGCACAGCGACTCTGTTCCATACAAAGTGATCCCCTACCATTAAAAACATTCAGCTCCACTTGCAGGGTCTTTCCACTGTCTCTGTCATTGTGATATCCTGTCCCACATGCATACAACCCAGCGTCCTCCTCTTCCAGCCTTCTGATTGTGACTTGAAATAGTCTTTCCTGGGGCCTCTCAGAGATGGATATTCTGTCTTTGTAAGTCTCATCGATGTACGGAGAGGTCGAAATCATGGTGACACAGGCCTTTGTGATCTCCCTGCACCAGAATTTTCGCTCGGACATGTCCTCCACAGGACATATTATGGTAATGGATTTTCCAACCTCACCGGTCATTTGAACACGCCGTCTTGCTGCATTCGAAACTGATGACACAGAGAAAGAAGTCACAGGGCCTTAGTTATGTTCATGCACGAGGGCCCTGTCTTCTCTAAGCTAAAAGGTTGGTCCTTACCGTGTGATAACCAGTGCCAGCTCACAACATTTTGGCATCTGAGGCGGGGAGCTCAAATGATGCCCCCATGTCCCCTTGTGTGGGCCAAAACTTTGAAAGGTCTCAATTCTGCCTTTTTCCCGTTCTACTCCTCTCATGGTACTGCTCTGCTACGTACATATGCCCCAGCAGCAGACACAATTTTCTACACTCTGAGTCCTACTGCCCCCCCCCCACACACACACAGTCTGGCACCTAAGACAGCTGCCTCAGTTCGCCTTATGGTAAGGCCAGCCATGGTGATAACTCACACGAGGTAAAATCTAAGTGAAGTCTAAGGCCTCATGACCCTTTACAAAATCATACAAGTGTGGGACTAGAAGTGTGGGTCAGCTAGTCTGGGTCCCTGCACTTAGAACAGGACTACAAAATAACTCAGCCATTCCTTGTAGGTATTTGTCTAACCTATTCTTAAAAACCTCCAATGATGGAGATACCACAACCTCCCTAGGCAATTTATTCCAGCACTGAACCACCCGGACAATTAGGAAGTTTCTCCCAATGTGCAACCTTTGCTGCAATTTAAGCCCATTGCTTCTTGCCCTATCCTCAGAGGTTAAGGAAGACAATTTTTCACCATCTTCCTTGTAATAATCTTTTATGTGCTTGAAAAGTCTACTGTTCTGAAAGTGTAAATCAGTCTTAGAGTCAAGCTACGTTACAGCTACACCCACGTTCAGCGCCTTTTGCACAGCTAGTGTAAATGGAGAAGAAGCTCATGTCCTTTTTCAACGGACTAAAAATCTGTCCCTGAGTTCTGACAGTGAAGAATGTGGGATTTTCTAAAGCACAAATCACATGAGCTCCCTAAGCTAATTGCCCTAAGTCATTGAAGTATTTTTGGAATCTCACCCCATATTCCAAAAACCAGAGATTATTTGAAAATTCTTTTAGACCCTTACTACTGCCAGTCTTCTCACTAGTGCAGATACAGACACTCTACACAAATAAAGCCTTTACTTGATTGATATCATATGTCTGTGAATGGCTTGATTCCTGATCCTTCCACCCTCTTGGTACTGCAATGCCTGAGTTCCATTGGGACACTTTTATTTAAACTCCTTGTATTTAAACATGAAGGTTTCCAACTCTGTAATTCATTACTTCTCTAGTGTAAGAGTGCTCAGGTCTGTCAACCTTCAGCGTATAACGTAGTGTCCTTCTGTGAACTGTTTCCTGGTGGGGCAGGGCAGGGCAGTGTGTGGATCTGAATGGGTGGGAATTGTTTTCAGATTTGGTAATGCTCTTTTCTATTGGCTTTTTGGGAATAAAGACTGATTTTTCTGGAGCATGAAGTACCAACAGCTTTAAATGAAGTGCACAAAAACCGGGGGGGGAGGGGGGGAATCAGGACCCATGTTTTTACTTCATGCCATTCACATGCCCTGAGCTAGGCAAGAGAGGGAACCGTTTATAAATCTATTAACAATTCAATAAAATAACACCTTTGTATATAGGCAGGGTTCCTCATCCATCTATTTGTGCTGTAATCCTTTGCTGTAGGTTTGTTTTCCTACCCTATCTCTGTAAAAATGACCGAATAAATTCCACGTACTGCTAAAGCGAGGAAGCCCATGGCTAGCTAACCACAAAACAACAAGCTGAGGGACTGCTTATGATAGTATCCAAATTCTGGCAATCTCTGAGGCAGTACAGAAATCTTGATCAAAATAGGAGTTTTGCTTGAGTAAAGATGGCTGGCTGGATTTGACCTTTTTCGTAAAATCCTGGCTCTTTTGAAGTCAAGAGGAAAACTCTCATTGACTTCAATGGCATCAGGATTTTATCCCTACATCCTGAACACACTAAATCCAATTTGAAATGTGTGTTCATTTGAACACTTTTAGGTACCCAGTAGGCCATTTTATTTAACCGTACATCAACATTGGGGGCCCAGTTCACTAACTTCGGTTTGTAAATCATTCTGCTTTAGGAACAAGGCGCCCATGATGAACATCTCTAAAATGAAAATGTTCTTCTATTCTGCAAAATTAAAGCATCATCTGAAGAAGTGGGCTGTGCCCACGAAAGCTCATGATCCCATCTACATGATTTGTTAGTCTATAAAGTGCTACCAGACCATTTGTTTTTTTTTAAGTTTAAGCTATTTATTGTTCTTGGGAAGCTACAGCAACCGTACGTAGTCCAGTGTCAAACAGTTCCTGACATATCAGGTTGACTCAGATGTCAGAGCCTTAATTCCTCCCCCCTCCCACCCCCCAAAAAAGAAATGTACAGTAAAACTCCAGTGGTCCGGCACTCCTGATAGTCCGGCACCACTTGGAACCCGGAAGTGCTCCAGGCAGCTGGACAATTGGAGCTGCTCTGCCCTGGGCTTCCCAGAGCCAGCCGCTGGTCAGTTTCAGCAGCAGCTGACTTGGGGAAGCCGGAGGAAGAGCAGCAGGGGTGCTACCGGGTTGGTCCTGCAGTGCCGCCCTCTCCCACGCTGTGCAGTTCCCTGCTGACCTCCCCACCCCCTTCATAGCTCCCCTTCCGGTACTCTGGCATTCCAATAGTCCAACCTATCTGATAATCCAGCACCCCCAGGGTCCTAAAGGTGCTGGATTATCGGAAGTTTACAGTACAACGTTTTAAAAATCACACTGGAAGTTCATGGAGGGTAAAAAACCCTCTGCAATTTATGATAAAAGGAAACAGGCCCAGTAAACTGTTTAACTGAAGATGACCCAAGCTTAAAAACAAAGTTCAAAAGCATCTTCTTCTTACCTGCTATTTCCATTTGGACTCCCTGACACTCTTATTAATCTATACAACTCTTACCTTGCAGCAAGAAAAGTAACATACTGATGAAGTCCATCTTCTCCTTTTGTAAAACAAGATCTGGTGTCTCTACCGCAATAGTTGGAGCACCTTCACTGGTGGCTGCCTACTTCTCTGTGGCATGTGTTTCCAATAAGAGAAAGTTGCAAAGCACCAAAAAGGTACTGGCTAGGCTTGAGATTCTATATCAGAACCTTTCTAGCTCTGCAAATGGTATGCAAACCAGAAAGGAAGTTTTACAGGAGGCTTCAAAACGTATGGGACCAAATTCATCCCAGGAGTAACCCTACTGTGGGGTTGCACCTGGGCTGAATTATTTTCTGTATTTAGATGTCTGTCTTATCTGAACCCCACATCAAAGAGCACTCCTCCCCCATCATCCAACGCTCTAGGCGCTTTAGACATTTAGTTAAAAATACAGGCGCTGCAAACTAAAATCAACCCGAAGCAGCAACACTTCCACTTCACCTACTGCACAACATCTGGTCATCAGTTATACGGCCAATGTAGATGAAACCCCTCCACTATTCTCAGGCTTGTCTACACAGAGGAAAAATCTGGCAGTAGCTGCTGTGCATTTGTTAGCATTCACTAGCTACTCACTGTTAACTCCGGGCAGGTGCTCTGCCTACTTGCTAACACTGCCCTCAGCTTAATCCCCTCCCAAAGTGAAGCTGATTCACACGAAGGCTGTCGCCTATGTAGGCATAGCTGAGCTGGCTTTGATGTAGCTAGCTCCAGTTACGCTCTCAATTGCACGGGTCAGCATGGGCAGTAGAAGCCTACCCAGCTACGTCTACACTGCCAGTTTTGCCAGCAGTGAGTATGAAAATGAAGTGTGGATTAGTATATTGCGGCACCTCATTTGCATAATTTATGCATGAATTATGCATAAGTAGTGTAGACTTTTTCTTTTTGAGCAAAAACCCCTTTTCCTGACAGATGCTTATGCCCCCAAGAAAGAGGTTTACCGATCTGGCGGGAAAAGGGGTTTTTGCGCAATAAGAAAACGTTCACATTTATTTTTTTTCCTGCAAAAACCCTTTGTGCAAAAACAGCTTGCCTAAATTATGCAAATGAAGCGCAGCAATATGCTAATTTGCAAACAAAGTGCTTACTGGAGTGAGTGGCCCAAACTGCCCCCTCTGCTACCAATTTTTGCAGTTGGCCAAGTATCCTTGGTAGGTATGTCTACACACGCTGTGGGGACACCTTTGCAATATAGACATCTCTATGGATTCAGGCCCATTGTGCTTAACATAACCAGTATGGCAGGAGCGTATCGGGACCTTATTTGAACAGCTGGAGATATAGACTTCAGGCTGACTCCGGGTTGTTACTACTTTCAAGTTCTGCTCGAGCGGGATTGTGAGGAAGGAAGCCCTAAGGGGAAGCGAGACGCAATCCAGTGAGGAAAAAATAATGAGCAAAGCTGGAGAAGAGTGTGCGGTAGGGTGGAAAAAAAAACCAACCAAGGGAAGGAGCCTGGATCCAGAAGGCAAATTCTCTCACCTTGCTGGTCCTTTAGATTGAGGTGCGTAGGGGTTGTGGAGAGAGCGGCTTCTCTCTCCTGCCCTTCCTGGAACTCTTCATGGTTCCAGGTTTCCATAGCTATTGGCCCGGTACCTCTCAGCCGCGTGTTATTAAAAGAAAGAAACACAGCATCACTGGCCACTGCTCAGTGTTGTTACTGAAGGAATTAACAGGGTGAGTGGCCCATGAGAGGCACACCCTTCCTTTTTTCAGTATGTATTTATACCCTTCCTTTTGTCAGTATGTATTTATATCCCTTTAGGGTGTGAGCACCCAGTTGGTGTTGTTTAAAAAAAACCAGCCTATTTTTACCTTTAGTGTGTGGTACAATAATACAAGAAGCAGTCATGCATCTCCGAGCAGGTGGCTTGAAGCAAGGTCTGCCCCTTTTGCTTGCTTCAGTGTTATCGCTAGCATCATACCCTCCTCGTAGCGAAGCAAAGCTCTCCAGTTCCTCCTGCCCGAGCTCTGATGACAAACCACAATGGCCTTCTTTTTGGCGAGGTCAGGAAATAACACTGCCTACGCTGCGGGTGTCGTCATGGAACCCGGTGGAGCTGAGAACTACCCAGAATGTTTTCTTGAACGTTAAGACTATGGGTCTGATTTTCTTCCTGTTTGCACCAGTGTCACACTGGGGCCATGCCGCTGCTGGTTTTACTGAGAGGAGAATCAGACCCCATGGACCTGAATCAAAGCCTAGGAAAATCATCGGAAAGACTCCCATTGACTTCTCTAGATTTTTGGAGCAGGGCCCATGTTGTAAACTTTTGGGTGGCTTTAAAACTCTTCACTTCTTTTTGCCCCACTCTGTGTCATGCCTCCTCTCCCTGAAACAGCTTCCCACTTTTCCAAGTGTGAAGCACCCACCGTCTTAAAACTCTCCGTGAAACTTTCCATTGTTTTTCTTTGTACCTTCTCAGGTGTGAACTAAGCATGTAAAATCCTGTTTAATCAGTTAAACATTAACATTAACTGGTTAACGTTAATCAGTTAAATGACCCATAGTTTGAAAACCACTGATTTAGATTCAGATTTTGAGTGTCACAGACTGGCTCCCGGATAATCCCCATCCTTCTTTCATTGTAATGAGCAAATTTCAGCACAGGAGAGAATCTTGGTCCTTTAATGCATTGCTGTACAATATAAATGTACCTGGTGTCTCAAGAGAGTTCTAGTTTTGAGTAACAAAAAGTAAGAAATAACTCCAAATCCCAAGTGTTTTTTTAACCCTTGCCTACCCCCATAGCATTCACCCCATGCAGTATAAAAGTATACAGAAAGTAAACCGAATAACTGATCTGCTAAAATACAATCATATTCTTTATTAGCTGCGAAGAAAAATTCAGGTTACTTGTCTGGTCTATAGGTTGTGCCTTGAAGATTAAAAAGCTCATAGAAATCAAAAGAGTCATGCTGTTCTAAAATATTTCCTGGTGTTGTAAAATCAAATGAGATTTGAATCTAAAGTGCATCCTTAAGTCATTGCCATCCCTGGGACTGGTGAACTCCAACCAGGGAGCCCAGCCTGCAGGAAAGTAAAGGCGTTAGAGCTTTATTGACATTTTGCATCAAATGTGCTTGAAATGACACCCTTTGCTCTAATTTTTTTAAAAAAAATCAAACTTCTGAGGGTTTAACTTCCCCCAGGCAAGTTATATTTCATCTAGAAGATTCTTATTATATTACCACTCAGAACTTCATTAAAATATCTTTTGAGGAACTGAAAGATCTTGATGCAGCAAAAGATTTGACAGTAAGAAAAAGTGCGGCTTGCAGATCTGTTCTTCACTGATTCCAAACACCGTATTGTTTTCAGTCGTTATTGCTTTGTGCTTGTGCTATCTCCAGAAGCAGTTGTCCTGGGACTGGTGAGGAATTTGCTAAGCATTTCCCTCGGCTAC